ACGGACTTCAAAAATGAAGTTCGAATTTGGAGTCGCAGGATCGAATCCCAGAAGGGCCCAAACGACAAATAAAATAAAACAATAAAATAATAATACCAAAAAATGGCAGAAAAATAAGATTAATTTAAAACTTAATGCATAAATTAATATTGATAAATATTTAAAGTTTACAGCCCATCGACCGAGCGAGCGAGTGAAAATTTGCATATCAGTTTCCCCAGCTATACTCATTTCATTTCATTTCACTCGTAAAAACGAGTTAATAACAAAAATTTTGAAGCAGTCGAAATGCATACCCACGAATCTGTGTGCCGACGCCTCACTGTATCCAATCAGAAAGAGGCTAATAACATGGCGGTTTGACGTCGGCACACGGATTCGTATTCCAGGTCTGTATAGCTATGTATAGCTCTGTATACCTGTGTATACATGTAGGTCTGTATAGGCTCTCCGGATGACGACATTTTACGTGGGACGTTCCAAGAATTTTGCATACAAGTTAGTTGTGACTGCAGCTGTATCACTGAAGGACATCACAGCTGGCACGCTTTCTGCCATAGTAGTAATACAGGAGCTGTTTTTTTTCCGTCTATCATCAATGAACGCTTTTTAACACTCACGTTATGCACCTATCAATGTTAAGCCCCCGGGTGGGAGGGGCGGGCAACCCGAGGGAGTTGACATCGAAGGCTGTTACCTGGGTCAGGATTTTGACAATTTACGTGCCCCCGGGGAAGAGAATTTGACACAGCCGCCATCTTGGAAAAGCGAAGAGAGCCTGAAAACGAGTACTCCGCCATCTTGGAAAATACCCAAAAGTCCATGGGAATTTGAAACATGCTTTTCCTTGTACGATTGTTTCGCACAAATTGGCACAATGGAAGAAAGGAAGATGAGAAAATATGCTTGAATTTCTTGTTATAAAAGGCCATTGCTTCATTTTACTTCTGCTGGTCCTGTGAGAGGCCAAATTGCAAGGTAGATGTTTTCTCGAACACATTAATTAGCTTCTGTAATATGTCTTAGTTTTTTTACAAAAAAGGATACCCTTAGGGTGGGAATTTGATGCTCAAGTGATACCCGAGGGGTGGGGAAATTGACTCTGGCATGCCTAAAAATGTCCTGGGGTTGCCCGTCCCCCACCCTGGGGCTTAACATTGGTAGGTGCATTACTTTTGCTATCAGACATTTATAGTCCGGTCAGTATAAAATGCAGACTGCAGATTGCAGATGGACACTGCTGGAATCCACCGTAGGAAAAAAGATGGTGGCGGTACATTTTACTACAATAATGTAACTTGCGAACCTAACACAGTCAATGGGCACATCTGAAAGCCATATTTTTGCAAAATTCGTCCCTGTACTAACAACATTGTGTATGCTACGTTTGAAGTTTTTAGAACTTTTCTGTGCGTTTTTATGAGCGTTTTTAGGGTTTTCGTGCGTGGGTAATGTACCAGTCGCCATATTTTTTCTTATCACGATTCTATTCAGTGTCTATTCACGAACGATAACTTTGCGTACTTACCTTTCAATTCTGAGTCAGTCTTTCAGTTGGCAGCCTTCACAGCAATAACAGCTACTTTTCACAATCAATTCTGAGTCATAACATGAACGAAACACGTTTCAACATTCCTCGACATACCATTCATGGTGAGTAAAGGAATCGTTCGCCTTCGACGAAACTATTTGCACTCGTCACGCATCGCTGCCGTCCGTGGATTGTGATTGGTAGATTTCGATCGATTTTGTTTGTTTCATTTTTATATTTTCCGTTGATTGGTTACCCGGCCTGAGTGCCAGAGGCTTTTCTTGTGCGGTTTCCGGTTTCAAATCTCTCTTATATTACGGCCCCGCGCCGACTTCGGATCTCGACGCGACGGAGAAATAAACCTCTGGTACCCAGGGTATTGATTGGTAGCCAACCTCGTTCCCAGGGTCTACTCCGCGGAGTAGACCCTGGGAACGAGGTTGATTGGTAGCCTGCGAACGCAGACGTAATTCCGGCCCGAGTTTCGAGTTCCGTAGCCTCGATTTGAAGTTTTGAACACTACTTGAAAAATCATTGAAGACGAAAATCATATTTAGTATCTTTGTAGAAGGGAATTTATGCCAAAAAGCTATAAAAAGCTATTTTAAACGCTAAGATAAATGTATCTGTTCGGATACGTTAGCTGAACTTTCAAACTTCAGAAAGTTTTAGGGATTGAAATCTTTTACCCGAATTTATGAGCTGACCTATTTTTGTACCCAAAACGACATTTTTATCTCTCCGAAAACAAAAGGCATTCATTTGTCCATATTAAGAAAGGTCGAGATGACATTTTCCTAACCGAATATCCTAGGCGATTATTATAGGCCTTCCGAACAGATATTCCACCGACCTGTTGTTTCATGTTTGCTTGTGTAAATTTAGTATCATTTTTATAACGACAGGTCAGCACCAGGGTCAGCACAAAAGAGAAATCTGAGAAATGTACTTTTTTCACGGTTGACTGATGTTTCATTACTTTGGCTACAGTTCATGTTTTGGTAATCAAGTAGTTACGATAATCGTGTTTGCATAAAATTAGTCTGCAAAACAGTCCGTATTTTTGCGAAAGAGTCGGGCTGAACGTGGTCCGAAAAGGATCTGGATCGAGCGTGAAAATTACGAGTGGAGGCTCGCGTGTCGGCGCTTCGCGCCTCTCACTTCGTGCGTCGTACAGTATTTCGAGAAAAGAGAGACTGTTTTGCAGTCTAGCATAAAATCTAACGCGTATACACTGCAGTCAGTATACTTTAGAGGACTGAAGGACAGATACAAATTGCTGTTTAATTTGTAAGCTTCTTTACCATGTTGACCATGTTTGATAAAATATGCAGAAAGCAGCGGGGTTAGATCACGCCGTTACGTTTTCCGGCGTTTTGCACTCGGATACATGGGTGCGGATAAAATCGATGATAATCGATAACAGTCAATGAAAATCGATAACAATCGATGATAATCGATGCCAATTAATCGATTGATAATCGATAACAATCGATAATCATAAAATTCTTAGTCATCGATTGGTCATCGATTATCAATATCAATCAATTAATTGGCATCGATTATCATCGATTGTTATCGATTTTCATCGATCATCGATTTCATCGATTGTTCAGGACGGGATATATAAAGTCTCCTACGCAGCCGTTATTTGTGTCGTCACGCAAATAACGGTGCCTGCGTAGGAGACTAGGATATATAGTGAAGGTGGCCAATCATCAATATATGGTGAGTTTAAATGCCCAAACTGTCTCAAAGCAGTGGCGGCTTCCTTCCGTGGACAGAATGCTAAGTCATTTGGAAAGAAAGCAAAATGATACAATTCGGCCCATCATTCAAACATGTTCAAACTTAGGGAACTTCTGGTGTAAAAATGCAATGAAGACAGGGATGAAGAGGAGTGATAGTAAGCGTCCTTCAGATCAATGAAGGCCATAAAACAGTTAGGCTAAAAATAGAACTATTATCATTTTGAAGGCTGTCCGCGCCACGTTGCTGGTACCAAAATATATATACAGCTGAATTGGAAAAAAATAATGGCTCTGGTGTTGTATAAAATGAGTCGCTGAACTGATTGCTCGCCAGTGACTAGTGTTAACGTTTCCTCGGGTTTTCGTTGCAGTTTGCTGTTCCTCGCGTTGCTTTTGACGAGTCAAACTTTAGCTAAGCCAGTGCCGAATAGCGATAATGACACCCCGGTGAGTTCTGCAGCCATCGAGAGGATCGAAACTACCCTTCACGAGATAAAGAAACAAATTGCTGAAGTAAAAGATGACATCAAAATCATCATCAAAGAGGACAAAACGTTGGTTAAAGGTAAGGACAATTTTTAAAGTGTGTTGAGAATTTTAATTTCTCCACTGAAAATCTATTTGCGGTGAAATTTAAGACCGTTTTGCTACGGAACCGGCCGTAAGTGGATTTCTTTCTTGCATAGAACTGGATTGGAAGAGGAGCTAGGGGAGGATGTTAACCTTTAAGGCTGACTAGAATTCGCACTGAAAAACGCATTTTTGGGTCGCGTAACGGCGGGGCTAAAGTACAGGTCACAGGTCAGGTCACAGGTCACATTGAATTGACCTGTGACCTGTGACATGTGACCTGTAACCTGTGACCTATCTTCTTTCAAATCTTTCTTAAATTGGCGAATAGTCACAAATGTACACTGTACCGTTTCTTAACCGTCAGCTTTTGGGAGTACAGTATGGCGGCAATAAAAGAATAATATACTTGACAAAAACAAACGGTAACATACTCAGCCATCTTAGCTACCATGTGCTCGAGAACTGATCATGTGATTACATCCCTTCGGGGGTAGGGTGTGTATACAAATAAAAAGGAATTTTACAGAAAAAAAGGGAATTGTTTTCGTAATTTGTCTGTTTTTGGGATTTTTATTTGTTTATTTGTCTATTTATTTGATTTATTATTTATTTTTAATTTTTTTAAATTTTTATTCTGACCTATGACCTGTGACCTCTACTTTAGCCCCACCGGTCACGGATAGGCCTGTCCCGATTGTGCTCGTAAAATGTTGAAAAGTTGCTCACTGGAATGCAAAAAGTTGCTAAAAAATTGCCAAAAATCCAAAAAGTTGCTACCTGAATTTCAAAAGTTGCTACCTAAATATCTTGATATTTTTATACAAACGTTAATTAAAAGCCTTATTTTTCGATTTAAAAAATATAATTTTTTTAAATTTAAAAAAAAGTTAAAAAAAGTTGAAAAGAAATGATGGTATATTTTAAGCTTGGCAGAAATATGAGAAAGATATTATTCTGTCAGTGACACAAGCTACCCGAGTAGCTTGTGTCACTGACAGAATAATATCTTTCTCATATTTCTGCCAAGCTTAAAATATACCATCATTTCTTTCCACAAAATTCTCTATCATCGACAAATCTAATCCTAGCAGTATGCGGGATGGTTGTCACACTTGAACCTAGTTATATGGCCTTAGCTCCACGAGTCTCCTGTAGCTCATGTGGTAGAGCGTCCGACCGGTGTACGGAAGGTCATAGGTTCGACTCCTGTTGGGGGAACTCGGAATTTTTTTCCGAGTAGCTTGTGTCACTGACAGAATAATATCTTTCTCTTAAAAAAAGTTGTTTTTAAAATATTTTTTTAAAATTGTACGTTGATAAACATTCAATAAATTGAAGTTTTCTATCAAATTGTTCACTTTTTCGTGCTTGATATGTGCTGTAAACCTATATTTTGCTCAAAAGTTGCTCAGAAAGGCAAAACTTGCTCGAGGTTGCCAGAACTGCAAAAAGTTGCTCCAAACGCCAAAAGTTGCTCAAAAGTTGCCGAGCACAATCGGGACAGCTTAGTCACGGAACCCGTTTTCTTGGTGCTGTTACCAGAAATTTGGCTAACCTTTGCTAAAAGTGCCATTTGGAGAACTGGGGGAAGATTTTAAAAAGCTTTTGGGGCAAAGGTAAGGCTTGCTGCATTATCTGCGTATTTAACGATAACCGTGCAAAATATTCCAATTCATAAGAAAGTAAAATGAGCTCACAACATCGAAATTAAAAATTCGTTTCAGGGAAATTATTAAAAATTTCAAATTATATACGTCCTAAATGCTCTGCTACGAAATTTAATTTAAATATATTGAAATGGCTCTTTTCGGTGACTGTTTTTCTCACTGTAAACAATCATTGCTATAGGCGTTGCTATGTAAAAATTTGTCTACTACTGTACAGAATCCTTAAATTTTACATAAATCAAGGCAAAAATACAGCAAATTCAATTCAGAATATGTTTTGCAAGTGTTCAGAGGTTTCAAATGCTTATGTTTCAGAGAAATGACTTTTGTATCGAAAGCTTGACATTTTAGGGTATAAGACCACCTTAATAAGATATATATATCTTGGTCTCTTTTTTGCAAGTTTATGGACCTCGCCGACAAAAAACGAACTCGACCAATATTTCCCAAATAGGGACCTCACGCTAGTTCAATAACATCTATGTATTGATCAGCAAATACTGTAAAAAGGATATTTTCATGTAATACCTAGTGGTAGTTCTTCGGGCACAAGCTTAAGTACCCTCAGATTTGGTTTAATTTTCGATTATAAAACTCGTCTTTCTCGCTCAACAGCCAAGAAGAACTGCGCTGAGCTGTACAAATTTGGTCAAACAATCAGCGGTGTTTATACAATCGACCCTGATGGTTCAGGTGCTTTCGATGTGTTCTGTGACCAAACAACAGCCGGTGGGGGTGGACAGTGTTCCAGAAGAAACTGGACGGCACTGTTGATTTCAACCGCGGCTGGACCGAGTACAAGAATGGCTTTGGGAACTTAAATGGCGAGTTTTGGCTGGGACTAGACAAGATAAACCGCCTGACGAAAACAAAGAATAGGCTTCGAGTAGATCTGGAAAACACTACAAGCAACACTGCTTACGCCGAGTACGACATGTTTGCAGTGACGTGCGAGAGGACTAAGTACCAGCTCAGCATCAGTGGAATTTACTCAGGTAAATCAAGTTACTTACAGCAGTTTACTATAAATTAAACTATATTTTGTCTTGAGTAATTTTGCCCTTTATGATATAAGGCAGGAAAACTACTCACACGATGTATTTAAAAAATAATAGCACATTTATGTATATTATTGTGTCATCACTTCTTTGAAGCAATTTTACAACTATAGCGGCTGTGCACCAGCACTCCCTCCCAACCCCACCCCTTACGCACACCAAAAAAATTGCCGCAACTATTTTGTAACATCTGAGGTCAAATTCTCGTTTTATTTTTTTTCAGGAACTGCTGGTGATTCTCTCAGCTATCATCGTGGATCTCCCTTTACAACCAAAGATCAGGACAACGACAGAAACTCCACCGGTAACTGTGCTGATAGGTTTAAAGGTGGCTGGTGGTACAGGGACTGTGTCGACTCTGATCTGAACAGCATGGATGGTGTGTACTGGTCCTTGTGGAAAGATGACCAGAAATCCATTAAAAAAGCTCAAATGAAAATCAGACCAGTGATCTGTTAGAAGAACTTTCTGTATTTTTTAATCATATTATTTTTGGAGTATTTCTTTGTTCTTTTCCTTCAGTTCTGATCAGAGAAATATAGACTACGAGCAGTCCCACTTTCCCTTTATAGTCCGTCGAGAGCGAGAAGCGAAATAAACTGAGGGGCAAAAACATGGCTGCGCCACCAAATTTTGCCTCCACAGGCTACGAGACATGGGCGTTGGTCAGCGAACCGTGAACCTTCGCGCGCTACACTCACCCCCAGATCTCTGTTCCTTGCCGGCAAAATAATAATTTATGCTAATTCAGATTATCACAAATTACATTTTTCGCGCGGCAAATGTTTTCCTCTTGTTTTATTTCGCTTCTTGCTCGATAGACTAAGGGAAAGAAGCACTGTCCTTTAGTGTTTTGAAATACGAACTTCAGAAACAAATTTTATCATTTACTTGTATACTTTTCTCATACTGAAAATATTTTAAAGATATCCTAATAAGATTTTGATTTTACGGTAAAAAAAAATTAAGCTGCCACTTTTGAAAGACTCCTGGCTGACTTTTAGAGCCGGAGCCTGTCAGCTTTTATCCTCTTGAAGGTATTGTTGACCATTGTCCCTAATTATAAATATATAAGGCATTTGTAAAGTAAAACAAGTTTCTGATAATATTTACGTTGTTCTAAGCTGGACTTTAAAAACTGATGTAATTAGTAAATTTAATTTGTATAGTGTAGTGCTAAATTAATTGTAATGTAGAAGGATTTTATTTCACTATTATAGTATTAGTTAGCAAGAGACTATGATATCACGGCTCACTGGAAGACCATTGTAATGAATGTGATACCGTGTTTTTAAATAAAGATACAAGTGGTTCATGACATTGTCAGTTTTATTCGATATGATAAATATCTGTAAAAGTGGGTCAGGGTCAAAGAATAAATTATCTGACCACAACACTGGGATTCACATCACATATAAGTCTAACAACAGTACTATTACCAGTGGCGGATCCAGGGGGAGGGTCTGGGGGTCCGGACCCCCCTACCAGACCTGAGGGTTTTCTGCTTTCTCATTATCCATAGAAAACCATCTCCAGGATGCACTTTTCAGAGCCTGAATTAAATCTCAATTTTTTCTGGGGAGGCCGCCAAACACCACCCTCCGCGTCTTTTAGCAATAACTACTGCCATCTACTTCCAAAAATTCTCCTTCAATCTACTTCACATTTTCGGTAAAACCCTGGGACCCCCCCTATCAAAAATTCCTGGATCCGCCCCTGATTACTACACACTGCTGCAGTTCATCGTGCACATAATTCTATAGTCATACCCGACTACATGTTGGAACGAGACCAACGGAATCAAAGACTCTGCTCTAAGCATAAGCTACAACCCGATTGCTGCCTGAACATTATTTTACTAATCTAAAAGTGCGTAGAGCTCATTTAACGCGCCACTATTCGTTCATATTGATAACGTTCACCCATGAATAAAACCATGTTCACACTTGGTGCCCGAGCACTGGAACAAAATGTTGCTGTGTTCAGACACTATATAGGTCTATATACTAGGTACCTGTGCCCGAATTCTGGCGTGTTCGCATTAGTGCCCAGCGAGAATCGTCCTCGGGCACCAAGTGTGAACATAGCCTAAGATATGCAAGACTTGTTTAGAGAATCAGAATTGTATGACCTCTTTATATAAAATGAGGACATTAGAAGACGCGGTGGACAGCTCCCGAAGTTAGCAGAAAGAAAGCTTGCTCATCAAGCGATCACACTAAAATTACTTATAATCACACCAGTTAACTAGAACAACTACGTATCCTTATCACCGATAACTAGTGACCGAGCTGCGGAAACTCTTTGGGCAATTCTTTTAGGTATTCGAAATAAACTTACAAATAAACCGACAAATGAAGGAAAAGTTATTAAGCTAGACCAGATTTGAAATTACGTTGGCGACCAACGCAATGCGTCGGTATAGTACCAAAGGACATTTCGGCTGGGCTTAAGGTTTTGCTAAAAACAACTAACTACGTGAGTGAATTACAAGTGAGTGACGGTGGCTTTGTTTGTCGTTACAACAAACTTTAAATAATCTTAAATCACACGTAAGAACACACTTCTTAAATTATTTCATAGAAACACCCAAAGCTTTTAAAATTCACAAAATATACTTCAACACGTTTTCAGGTTAAGTCCAGTGATTGTGTTTGTACATCCTTAGAAAGACTAAGCTTAAAGGATCTTGAATCTTGAATCTCTGAATCTTGAATCTCTGAACCAGACCCTTCTGCCCCCAGACTCTCGCGGCTCCGCTGCTCGCGACATCGGCTTCGCCGCTTACGAATTTTGCCTTCGCCGCTTACAAATTTTGCCTTCGCCGCTTACGAATTTTGCCTTCGCCGCTTACGAATTTTGCCTTCGCCGCTTATGAATTTTGTCTTCGCCGCTTACGAATTTTTTCTTCGCCGCTTACGAATTTTGTCTTCGCGCGCCAACAAGACCGCCAGCTACACAGGCTAGAATTGACTTCATTGATTAATCTTGTAGACGACAAATCATTTGAAAAAAATCCTTTCTTAGTGAGGATGACTAACGATGGCGAGGATGGAAATGGGTTATGTACAATACGGACAAATTTGAAAACGCAATGGCATTCCCTTGCAGAAAGGAGCTCACGAGGAAGGGACTGGTGACTAACGATAGCGAGGATGGAAATGGATTAGTTATGAACAAATCACGAATTCCCTTGACTCGGCGGTTTCATGGGTGAATCTTATCCATAAATCAGTAAAAATGGAACTCATTTATAGGAAGACTCAAGTCACACAGGATGACTAAAGGTAGCAGCGGAAGCTCTACTCGAAATGCGGAAAACGTGTGTCAGCAAATAAACATGTGAACTTCACCTTTGCGTTTGTTTAGTTTCATATTGGAATTCTTTTCCATCCTCGTAATCGCCGGGCGGTTCATTATATCGTCATTAACTAGTTGGGTCATGTCTTTATGCATGCATATGGAAAACTACTCTCGTAAGTAGACAGTTCTA